GGCCAATAATACCTCTCTTCTAGCCTAGCAATCGTTTTATCTCTGCCCATATGCCCTGCTAAACCTCCACCATGCAAGTCCCTAATGAGCTTTTCCCGTAAAGATGTCCTTGGGATGCATAAGCGATTTCCTTTGAACAGATATCCATCTAAAATATGAAAGTCTTGAGTTGAGTTGTGTTGTTGAGCTTTCTTCCATATTTCTTTGAAATCCTCATCAAAATCATAGAGGTCCCTTAGTAGTTCAAACCCAATGAGCTCTCCTTGTAATGTGATCAACAGGCTCCTTCGTCTACTAAGGGCATCAGCCACTTTATTTGATACTCCAGATTTATGCTTAATCACGAAGGAGAATTGCTCAAGGAAAGATGACCACCTTGCATGCATTTTGTTCATGTGTTTCTGATTTTGAAAGTATTTTAAAGCTTCATGGTCTGAGTAAATCACAAAATCACGAGGCATTAAATAATGAGACCAAACCTGCAAAGCTCGTACCACTGCATAGAGTTCCTGTTCATAAGTAGACCATTTTTCACGAGCTGGGCTTAGTTTTTCACTGTAGAATGCCACTGGTTTCTTTTCTTGAGACAACACAGCACCTATTCCCACTCCACTGGCATCACATTCAACTTCGAAAACTTTGTTAAAGTCTGGCAATGCAAGAACAGGGGCAGATGTGATTTTCTCCTTTAGTTCATTGAAGCTAGCATTAGCCACCTCATCCCATTTGAAATTTCCTTTACGCAATCAATTAGTGATGGGAGCTGCAATGCTACTAAAATCTTTAATAAACCTTCTGTAAAAGGTGGCTAAACCGTGAAAGCTTCGAACTTCCCCCACGGTCGTTGGAGTCGGCCATTCTCGTATTGCCCTCACCTTTTCTTCATCAACTCGTATTCCATCTGCACTAATCACAAAGCCAAGAAAGACAAGTTTTTCAACCATAAAAGAGCATTTTTTTTTTAAGTTGATGTACAACTTGTGTTTCTAAAGAGTCTGCAATATCAACTTTAGATGCCTTAGGTGTTCTTCCTGGTTCTGACTATATATCAGAATGTCGTCAAAATATACAACAATGAACTTGCCATTGAAAGGCCTTAAGACTTCATTCATGAGCCGCATGAAAGTACTAGGAGCATTGGACAACCCGAACGGCATTACCAACCATTCATAAAGACCATCTCGGGTTTTGAAAGCGGTTTTCCATTCGTCTCCAGGTTTAATACGCACCTGGTGATATCCACTTCTAAGGTCAATTTTTGAGAAAACAGTAGCACCATGGAGTTGGTCTAGCATGTCATCCAATCGCGGAATTGGGAAACGATACCTGACGGTGATCTTGTTAATAGCCCGGCTATCAACGCACATTCTAAAACTGCCATCCTTTTTTTGGAGCGAGTAATGCCGGCACAGCACATGGACTCTTACTTTCTTGAATAAATCCCTTCCGTAAGAGTTCAACAACTATATTATTTACAGCCTCATTCTCCACGGGATTCATGCGGTAATGTGGGAGATTAGGTAGACTTGCTCCGGGTATCAAATCTATTTGGTGTTGAATGTCCCTTAAAGGTGGCAATCCATCAGGAAGTTCTTCTAGTGCAACATCTGAAAATTCCTTTAGCAAAGATCTCAGCTCATCAGGAACAAAATATTGAGAGTCTATTTCCTTACCCACCACTAGCAGGATAGTTTTGAAGTCTTTAGCTTCTGCAATAAATTCCTTCCAATTTGCAGTGACAGCACATGTTTTTCTTTGGTCTGCAACATTCCAAGAAATAGGAGGGATTAATATCTTTTTACTTTTCCACAAAAATTCATAAGTGTTCTGCCGCCCATGGTAAATAGCATCTACGTCAAACTGCCATGGTCTTCCTAAAAGAATATGACATGCATCCATGTCAATGACTTCGCAAGTCACAGTGTCTTGGTAGCTCTTCCCAATAGAAACCGGCACACGGCAAACCTCCATCACCATAACAGATGGCCCTTCTTTTATCCAACCCAATTTGTAAGGCTTCGGGTGAGGCTTAGTTGGCAGTCCTAAACGTTGCACAAGTGCCTTGGATACAATGTTGTCACAACTGCCATTGTCAATAATAAGTTTACAAACTTTTCCCAGTACACTGCAATGAGCTCGAAAGATGTTGTTTCTTTGGGCAGGATTATTTCTTTCAGTAGTGCACAGAAACCTCTGTACAACACAATTTAAGTGTTCTCCGACTTCTTCGGCAGCCTCTACTTCATCTTCATTAGTGACTCCCTCTTCGTCAAACTCATCTTGTTCCTCCACAAGGTTGACAGATTTTCTAGCTCGACATTCATTTGAGCGGTGTCCTGGTTCACCACATTTGAAGCACTTGCCCGTCATTGGTCTTGCATAAGGATTTGGTGCAATACTTTTAGAAGATATTTCACCACCTTTTTGTCGCTGGAATTTAGAATTATTGCCTACTGCCTCCTGCAAATTATGAGATAGTGAAGGAACAAAATTTTGGTTTGGAGTAGTTCTCTGGGAATTGGTCTCTGTAGTATTTCTAGACGGTTACCATGGACTGTTTACGAGAAGTAGCTTGAGACAACAATTCCTCAGCCCGCAAAGCCATATTATAGGCTTCATCAACCGTCCAAATTGGAGCCAAAGCCATTCGTTCTCGGATATTAAATCTCAACCCATTTATGTAGCGTGCAGTTTGTTGTTCAGGAGTCTCAGACAGATTACAACGCGCTCCAAGCCGATAGAATTCTTCTGTGTATTCATTCACGCTCCGACCTCCCTGAGAGCAACGTTGATATTTTTGAAATAGCTGTTGCTGATAGTCAGGGGGCAAAAATCTCCCCATCATGAGCTTCTTCATTTTTCTCCATGAGGTCACAGGCATTTTTCCTTGCCTCCTCCTATTATTCTGAGTCATATCCCACCAAGCGGATGCCCCACCGCGTAACTTGTTTGCAACATACTTAACCTGCTTGTTTTCAGGGACATCTAGCATCTCAAAACTGCTTTCAACTTCATAGCACCAGTCTAAGAAAGATTCAATATCTAAGTTGCCATTGAAGCAAGGAAGGTCAATCTTGGGTCTGTAGTACTCTCGTCGTTGTGCAGGATAATTGTGGCTTGTAGTATCTTCGTCATCACTGTCATCCATTTGCTCCTGAAAGTTATAGCGCCGGGTGGGTGTTGTGCTTGCCTCGGAATAGCTCCTTCCACAGGTTGGTTTTGTCTGGGATTGGCAGCCGGATTTATCCCACCACCATTCATTCCCAAACGTATAGCTTCAAGAATACCACGAAGTTCTTGGAACTCGCGGTTAGAGTTATCCTCGTGTGCTCGAAATGCTACCCAAAGGGCTTCTACCCCACGGTCATCGCCAATGGGTTGATTGCTACCACCGCCGGTATTGCCATCTCGAACCATTTTGGGTCGTAACAATTTGAGAGGGATGTACCGCTATCTCGTTTGTTGCCTAAGAACTTAATGGCTCTGAATACCAACTGATGCAGAACGCAGTAGCTGAACAAAGAATTCTAATGATTCATTAGAACAAAACAGGAAGTACATTCATAATAATTTTCAAGTCCCCCTTCTGGTTACAAAATGGCCTAATATATAGGCATAAAACAAAGCAACGTAACATTCAAATTCTAGGAATTGTAAAAGACACATGGAAAATGAAAATGCATTTAATATAATCTAGGAAAAAGATTCTTGAGCCTCCAAACAGATATTACTCAGGTTCCTTGTGTTGTGTTGCTGGTGTGAACGCCATCAATTAGGGTGTTGGGGGAGGGAGGACATTGGTCATCAATTTGGACAATTTCACGAGTATTCATCAGGAAAGTGAACATACTCGGCATTCAGGCGGTTATTGATGGCACTCAGGTTTTTTGAGGGGCTCTGATATGCATGAGTACTCTCTCCAACACAAGCATAATAGCTTTTAGAGTCTTGAGATATCAAAACATCCATCTGCAGACAGAACCAGAACAAGAAAGAAATAGTAAAATGACAAAAAAAAAAAAAAAATGCATTAGAGACTTCTCAAAGCCTGAAAAAATTATAATCTTTTCTGTAGAAGATTTGATGAAGCACACAAATAATTAACAAATCTTGAGAAAATAAATAAGTCATTTTCAACATGAACATATACTTTATGTGGAAATGCCATGGCCTCAGGCAATACAGTGACTGACATTTGATAGAATATAATTATGGGCATGCACATAGTTATTCTGCATTATAAGCTAACAGAACCAAAATAAAAACAAATAAGATAGTTGACTAGCATGTTCTTGTCAGTCTGTCAGAGTCATGCTCGGGCGTCTGCCGGAACGAGATCAAACACGAGATCATCACCGCGGGAGACAGAATCCGAGAAGCAGTTGTGAGCGTATTCTCCGATCTGAAGAGCTCAATCCGTAACAACATCGCGAGAAAAACTCCAAGCCGAAGCAACCATTGCCGGCCAGCACTGAACCAGACACCTACACTACTCCATTTTCAACCCAGAGAGAAAATTACTATTTTAGCCCCTATACTAACACCTTACAAACGGATGTTTAACGGAAGGACCAATGCTGGAACAAATCTGATAATCGAGGGTCTTTTTCGTCCAAATTAAAAGACAAGGACCAATTTTGGAAAATCACAATAGTCGGGGGACTATTGCTGGAATTAACTCGTGTTAATAACCATAAGTCAGATTTTGTGATAATCTTGATGAAATTCTAATCTCCCATCAGAATTCATACGACTAAAACCCTTTTATATAATGTTCATTAATTAAAGTACAAGCAAGGATTGGATGATTGGATGATGAGATTAGGAATTCAAAATCAATTCAGATCAGAAGATTATAAGATAGAGTCCTATATGAAAATTACCACATAACTCTCTAGACTAGAATTAACAATCTAAACTAAAGCCACAGGAATATAAACTATACATTATAAAACCAATAATAATATAATAACTAACATGGATCATCTCAAACTTCAATATAAACAAATGCCTAAAATTGGCCAATTAATTTTTTGAAACCATAATCAAAACTTTCATTATGAAAGATTCAAAGATAAGACACTACAGATAAATGAGGGAGAGTTAACAAACCACTCTGAACGATCAGACATAAAAAGGCACTCTCGAATTAATAAGTGGACAATTCTATTCATTGATCATTTAGCAAACAAGAAGCCCGCATTTGAAAAATGAAAGAAAAATTAGATCAAATTAAGTTTGATCTTGATTATTCTCAAATTATTTGAAGACAGACAGACATATATATATATATAGATATATAGTAACAAATGTAATACAAGGATTGGGTGGATCATCATCATCATCATCTCATTGATCAAACTTGAATATCAGCCAACTGGCTAAAATTAATTGGTGTAACAAGTGGAGGTCCAGCAACGAACAGTAGCTGAGCTGCCAATGATGATGCCAACTGTGTAGGATGAACCCAGTCAAAGAACAATGTTGCATTGCGATCTTCACAGAGATGGGATTTCTTAGTGCATTTGTCTTTTCCATTCAATTTTCCATGTCCACAGCAGGCTTTCTTCACCTCTTTAAAAACTGTATCCAAAACTTATCAATGTCACATTGTGACCTCATTATCATCAAGTACAAGTAAATGTTCTTAAGATCAGAATAAAAATCGCGGAATGTTCGTTGAATCTTTTGATGTGTGTTATTCGACATTGAATTGAAATGTTTTTGTATGTTGACTTAACATTGCAAGAAAATCTTACATTTTGGATGACCATTGAAAAAGTAGTCAGAAATTTTTAGGGTTTGTGGTTCAAAATTGAATTTCTGGCCACTAAAAAGATTATAAAAAATGTTTGTCAGTATTACCAATCATGGGTTGGTAACACCACTGCGTCAATGTGACACTCTGCAGCTGAGTTATATATATCCATTCCCTCTCCCATCGAGAAATTGAACGGATTAATCCTAAGTCAAATGGCCGCTATCCCTATTTTTGAACAACTTGGAGCTGGGCCTTTTTTTTTTTTTTTTTTTCTCACTATTATGGATATGAAAATAATGGTCAAAATCGGATTAAGTTATGAACTGCCCTTACTGGAAATAGACTAGACTACTGATTCCTCAAGAGTTCTTATGTGTTTTCACGCACCTTTAAGACCCCAAAAAAATGAACAATTAAGTTCTATTTTTTAGAAACACATACAAGATTCGACGCTACAAAAAAAGATAACTGTCAACAAAAGTCGTTGGAAAATTTGGAAGGTCGGTGTTCTCGAATTCTGACCAATACCCATGGTTACCATAATAAGGCAAAAACATGCTAAAAGTGGATAGGAATTAGTTTTCTTTCCAAGACTCAATTGTCCAATAACTAATTAAAGGTGATTGAAAGTTCTGACTACGTACCTAAAAAGTGATTGAAAATACATGATTTATAGGGGTGCAAAAGTGTTTACAAACAAACATATAAGGCAAAAATCCGCTAAAAGTGGACAGGAAATAGGTTTCTTTACATGAGTCAAAATTTTCTAACTACCTAGTTAAAGGTGGTTGAAAGTTTTGACCATCTAAAAATTTATTAAAAATACGCGATTCATAACTTCATAAGGGTGCAAGGTAGGTGTTACAATATATAAGATACTGAGTATTAATTAAATTACCATAAAGCTCAGCTCAAAGATTGAACTTAATTAATTCAACAGATATATATTTACCTTGTGACTTTGGGTCAAGAACATTCATTGTCATGTTGTAAGAATTCCCCAATGAATAGTGCATTCCTTGGAACGATGCACTCATACTCTGCAATACCTTCTCAGTCGTCTTGTACAAATTTTGAGCCAATTCATTCACCTCGTCATCGCAACCTCCACCCGAAGTACACTCACGCATCGACGGGCAACACCCGATCGGCGCCACGCCGATAATCCCGAGTTTTCGTGCCCCGAGGTGGTACAATTTCTACAATAAGAACACCCCCAATAGGAGTTTTTAAAATAGTTTTTTCAAATGCAAAAACTTGGATGGGGGTGGGGTTTTTTTTGCTGGTTTTTATTTCTGCAAATGCGAAACTTTTGTGGGCTTCATTAAAACATATTAAAAGTATAGCAAGTGATGCAGTGCGGAGCCAGAAATTTCATCCAGTGGAGGCGAAAATTAAAATAAATGAGACTAATCAAGTAGGGAGATTCGCTTCTTGACCTCTACAACAACACATACATACTTAACCATTTAAGCACTTCATTTTTTAGTAATATATATCTATATTATTTAGTTATATCTAAACATTTACTATATATATATTCAAGGGTTCCCATATATAAGGGGCGAGGTGAGGCCGGGGTTTTACAATTACCTCTAGATGGCTAGCAAGGGAACCACCGAGGTAATCAATGAAGTCGGGTGCGGTGAGATTAGAGCCATATTTCTTGTAGTCGAACAAATCATTGCTGCCTACACTCAATAAGTAGAAGGCGTTTTGGAGTAGATGTTGAGCTTTGGCTTCACCTATTGCCTTTGTGATATCATCACAAACTCTTGCAAATTGCTGAATCTGCTTCCCCAAGTGGATTACCACATTCTGCACATACATTTCGTTTAATTTGTGTTTTCAACAACATTACATTACATACTAAATGGGGAAAAAAACCTAGGTCATCGCCTAATCAGGTGAGAATCAACCTTAACTTGCAAACTGTGAACTTGTGAAGGATTGCACCGTAACTACTACATGATTGCACTGTTACCGCTGCCAGATATGTTTGAAGGAGCTTGGAGTGCAATCATATTTAAATACGGTGCAATCATGTAGTAAGTGCAGTGCAATTCTTCACAAGTTTGGTTGGTTATCACCTGATTATGGATATATATAGAAAGAGAGGGAGAGAGTTACAAAATGTTTGAAGCCGGTATGGTCCAAGATGCCAGATCCTCCCGAGGCAAAGTTCACTCCGCGCTGTATTTCTTGGGTGAAATTACTCTTATGATTCTTAGCTTTAATGAGTGACAGAAATGGTGGTGGGCTTTCCTTGTAGTCCCCAACCATGCTCGCTATTTATAGTAATCAAAGGTAAATGTCATTATTAGAGCAAAGACTAACATTAATTAATGCAATCAATCTTAGATTGTACTTGCATGTTTTAATAATCCTAAGTCTATTTTCACAAATACTAGAAACCAATCATGTGTAGAAGAGGAATAATATAACCAAGTTGATTGGGTTATCGGCTTGGTAACCACACCAGGTTTCAACTTCTAAGTTCAACTCTTAGTGGGATCGGAGCAGCTTATTGATAGATGACCTTCTTGATTTGAGCTGGTTAATTATGGACAACTTAGGTTTGTTTGTCTTCTTGTGGTCTTTTAACAATTATGGTTACAAGTTAATCAAATTGTTGGCTTGACAACTACTAAACAACAATATTTTAAGTTTGACTCTTAGAGCAGTCTATTTAATTTGCCTTTTTGGTTTGAGTCGGTCACTATAGACAGCCTAAGTCAGTTGGCTAGCTAGAGTCCCAAAGTAGTAGGATTATATTTACTCAACCTAGACCATCAGATAGTGGCTCCAAGTTTCTCTCGGTCACCTGGAAAAAAAAAATAAAAAGAGGAATAATACAATATACATATACCTATATAGTCAGCAGTGTTGTAGCCATTGCTGAACCTGCCAGTGCATTTGGAGTTGGGATAATCAATCCCATAATAAGGATTGTTAGCAGTGGCAGTGCTTCCCTTAAGGTGATTATTTGTCCCAACATCCATGGTGGAATCCCCAAATATATACACCGTCTGGACCTTCTTCGCATTTGCCGCAGCTACTTCCCAACACATGACGATGATGATCAAGAAAACATAATATAGTACGATGAGGATCAACCTGGTTTCGTTGTTTTGATGATTATTATTCCTCGCCATTTAATTTTCTGAGTCTCCACAGGTAGGTGATGAACTGAAAGAACATAATGATGGGTTTGAAGTTTATATGGAAGAGACTGGTGAGTAAAGCAACAAGAAGGTGAAGTCATTAGCGTCGATGTCTTCAACGTTTGGGGGTAGAGAAAAACAGAAATTAAAACCCCCCAGGCATCAACTCACTGTCAGATGTTTGGTTTAAGCAATGGAATATAATTATTGAATAATATATATATTATATAACATCGTTTTCGATTTGCTTAGAGCTGAGCAGGCAAAGTATATCCTTGCCATCCGAATTGAAAGAAGACAATTTTGATTTACAAGAAATTAAAGTTTGCAACCGCTCACAAACATTAATTAGCTTGTGATGGCCCTAGTAAGTAAAGAAGAAGAAGAATTACAATTCAAAGAAGTAAATTAAAACAGTTTAAGTTGTTTATAGTTGATCGGATCAGGTTCAAAATAAAAAGTTCAATATATAGACAACACCTTAAACTTGAAACTTGTGGTTAGCAAAACAACTTTTCAACCCGCTCGGGTTGTGTATAGTAGTTGCAGCCAACATGCAATCTACGATACATATTTGTTATATATATATATATATATATATATATATATATATATATATATATATATATATATATATATATATATACTAGTATTTTTATGCGCGATGCGCAAAAAATAGGTGGCCAATATTAATACATTATATTAAAATTTTAAATTTATTTAGATCTTAGATATTTAAATTATTCTAAATAATAATAATAATGTAAATCATTTTTATAAATTTGATATTTATATTTTATGTAATAATTAACATATAACTCAAATATATAATGTGTATATATTATTATTAATGAAGAAGATAAGAAAATATATGGTGGACGCATGTGCATGGTAACAATAGTGGAAAAGATAACGGAAGTTACAACGATAGGGGTATGTTTGTCCAAAATATTTTAATGTACAACCTTTATAGCATAATATACAAAAAAATTTAACGGAAAAAACAGACCTAAATTAGGGGTATAACTTTCATTCACACTTATTATGTTTTTAGATATGCATGCAATGTCTCATATGTTACTGAAATATATATGACATATATAACGAGTGATTCAAATCGGTGGTTCGAACTCAAACAAGGTAATCGCTAAGTGGGTCAGGGGTGCAAGGGTGTTGCCTCATATCCCACGAGGTACAATACAAAGGTAATTTTATAAATGAAAAATTGCATTTTTCATCGCTAAGTTATAGGGTAATTATATGATTTGTTCCTGAGTATTGGTTATGCTCACTTTTCGTTTTAAGTTATTATTCGTCCCTAATATTTTATCAGTCAAGGGACAAAACGTGTCACGACAATGATAACTTAGGGACGAAAAGTGAATATGACCCACACTTTGAGCAAATTCTTCAATTATTCTATAATTTAGGAACGAAAAATGTAATTTTCCTATTTATAAATATATCGTTAGAGTTTTCTATAAATATGATGCTTGTATTGTAACTTGACTTGAATGTTTTATAATCACAATAAATAAAAATCTCATTCACTCCTCTAGATGTAGATTCTCAACCGATCCATGTAAATTATTCTTCATTTTTGTTTTTGTTTTTGATCCCATTTTTCTCAACAATATTTATTATTATACTCCGTATATGATACTGTTGTCTGATCTACTTGAAGCTATATTTAGAAGCAAGTAGCTAGCTTAGATTCTTAATTAGAACGTATGTGTTAGTTTGATCTGAAGTACGTGCAGATTAATTATTGATTAATCATTCTTAATTACTCCGTACTATGTTTCTGATCGCCGCCTCCGTAGATTCTTAGCGAGCAGCTTTTTGTAGGATTTTATTGTTTAATTAGGATTCCAAGAAAGCAACAGGCCGGGTAAAATAGAGAAAAGACGAAGAGATACATCCTTAGCAGAAAAGTTTACTATGGACTTGGGTATTTACGGTTTAGATAGGGATGTTAATGACAATTGCTATCTATTTGGAGCAAAGTCTACTTTATATTATGAACCATAATCTAAAAATTATGTGTTTATTGTTAATGTATTTTATGTTCATTTAATTAATAGATTATGTGTCTAATCACGAAAAATTCAAATCCACTCAAATTAAAAGTACCACAAAATAGCTACTTATAATACTATTTAATTTTATGCTAATTATTTTCCAACAAATTATAATGGCCCTGTTTAGTAAAATAGTTGTTAGCTATTAGCTGATTGTGTTAATTAGAGGGTATAAATAGTTGATAACATTAGCTGATTGTAGAAAAGTGTTTGGTAAATTAGCTGTTTGGTATAATTTCTTTTCTCAAAAAGCTAATTGAAAAAGTTGTTTGGAGTAGCTTTTTGAATTTTAGACTTTTAGAGTTGCAAAAAGCTAATTAACCAAACATTTATATTGATATTTTAACTAAATTAAACAATTAATAGTGATCAAATAAGCCAAAATTGACCTATAGGCCAATTTTTTACCAAACAGGCCAATATAATTGGTCATTTGAGCTTTTCAATCTCTGCCAACTTCTTTAAAATTTGCATTGTATGTTCCCTTTGTTCACGTTGGCCGAGCAAAATATTTGTATATATGCTTGAAAATTTTGTAGCAGTTTATTAATTATATCATGAAAAATTAACGCTTCAATACGTGCTCATAACACCATCTAGAGAAAGCAAATCGATTTAAAAAAAAAAAAAATTGTGATTCACACACTTTGGATTAACCGTTTACAGTATATATATAGTACCTTTTTTTTTGAAGAATTTTGTTTCGGATTATTGTCAAAATTCCTTACAGTAGACTCGATCTAAAATACAATTATCACAATATATAGTTGAAGGAGCAAAAGCATATATATATATATATATATATATATATATATATATATATATATATATATATATATATTAGAGCTGAATATTAGCCAAGGTTGTAAAGTTGATGGGTGTAACAGTTACATTTCCCCCAGAGACAAGAAATATGGCCGCATAATAAGACGCTGATTGTGTGGGATGAAACAAGTCGAAGAAGACATAGGAATCACGGTTCTTGCATAGATTAGATGTTGACATGCATTTTCCTTGTCCCTTGTTTGGTCCCTGTCCACAACATGCATTCGAGGCATCCTTAAAACCTGCATGAATGTGCATATATTCATCGATCACAAACACAATTTTAGTCCTTCAATTATAGAGTAATGGATGTACTAATTAATGGATACAGAGATAATTTCAATCGAGTTATAGATAAAATGAGACGAGGGGAGTAATTAATTACCTGCTAGGGCTGGATGGTCGATAATAGCCCTAGTTATGTTGTAAGAGTTTCCAAGTGCATAATGCATCCCTGGATTTGATTGGCTGAAGTTGTGCAGAAGGGTGAGAGTTGAATCATGGAAAGCTTGAGCCATGGCATTCAGTGTCTCGTTGCACGCGCCGCCGTTCGTACTAAGTATCGCCGGGCAACACCCCAGGGGTGAGACCCCTAAGAACCCAAATTTTCTTGCTCCCAAATTATACAAAATCTGCAATAATACACATTAATTAATGTAATTAAATTCTTTTTTGGTGACGATAAAACTCACTTCACTTCCCTAATCATGTTTTTTTTGGGTTAGACTACCGAGGGATCCTGAGTAGGTCCTAACCGTAGAAGGCATCTTTAAACCTGTATCATACTCAGATTAATCCTTGTTCGCACTGAGCCAGCCCAATTAATGGGCAAAGTACTGCCAGATTGATTTTTTCCAAACTCCTGACCTTTCTTAAGGGATAAGAGTGCACGGCCTCACCAACTAAGCTGATTTCCCTAATCATGTTTTATCTACTCGATCTACCACCCTTTGCCATGTTAATGTAAATTCTTGCAGATGTCTGTCTTAATTAGGTTATATTATCTCAAGAAAACCTTATTCCCCTCGAAGGGAAAAGCAAGCTAATTAATTAAGGTTGTTGCTGACCTTTAGTTTAATGGCGAGGGCACTGTTGAGATTGGCTAAGAAATCTGGTCCAGAAATAGGCGGTGAGAAGCGATGATAGTCGAACAAGTCGTTGCTTCCGACACTGATGATGTAGAGGGCATTTGAGATGAGTTTTCCAGCTTTGATTGCACCCAACGATTGAGTGATGTTCCCACAAACTGTTTCGAATTGCCGAATTTGTTGCTTCCATGAAACAACATTTGTCTACACATAGTAATTGCAGGTTTTTCTCAGTCATCCAAAATATATATATATATAGAAAAGAATAAATGTTTTTAGTTACTTACAAATGCCTGACACCCGGTCCTGTCAAAAATTCCTGATCCTCCCGAAGCAAAGTTCACACCACCCAAAATGTTGCGGTTGAAGTTGCTCATATCCTTGATCAGAGCGAGAAAAGGCGGCGGGCTTTCGTCGGAATGATTCAATAGACTCGCTGCATATAACCAGCATTACTGACGTATCAGTCAACGTCATATTATTTTTTAATTTACAGGAAAGCTAGTACTCGGCCATGTTGCAAAACACGTTAGGCGCCAAGGGGGCGCCTAGCGCCTAGGCGCCGATTTTTTTTTTTAGTTTTTTATTTTTTTAATTAAAAAAATTAAAATTAAAAATTTAATACTAAAACATAAGGTTTACATAGTTATTTCTTAGAAACTATTTACAAAAGTGGTTGTAAAATTGTTGAAAAGATTGTTTAAACCATCTAAATACATAAAAATAAAAATAAAAAAAAAAACTAAAATTAAGAGCTAAAGAAGCATTTTTTTGAGAAATTAGTGGACCAAACCGCCTTTGAAAAAAAAATTATCCAAACCGGACAACTGAGTCAAAAGTTATGCCTTCCGAAACTTTTCTCACATTTTCAAAAATAAAAAATAAAAATCGCCGAACCGCCGGTTAGGCGGTCTAGGCAGCCGGCCGCGGAGGGGGCTACCGAGGCCATTCCTCGCGGCGGCCTCCTAGCGCCTAGGCGCGATTTTTGCAACATTGGTACCCGCTACTCGATCGAAGTTGAAATGTATGT